AAAGAGTACACTAGTTAAATGGAATTTTAACGTTTAAAAATGCAACGGATGGGAAACGGAGAAAACTATGAACTACAACCACGAATCGCGATGTGTCTTCACAAAACAAACTCAAAAAGACTGTGATCCGATACTTCGGTCCGGAACTTATATTTATAATCCACTTATATTTATGTCTACATTGTCTACTTATATTTATAATTCCAAAAATCATAGGGTTTATTTCTTTATTACTATAGTCGATTGTGTTACATATCAGTCGAGTGTAATGGATAATTTTTTTTAATGAGATTCGATATTCCGGAATGTATGTTTATATTTGTAATCCCAAAAATTTTAGGGTCTTTTTTTTATTTGTAGAGTCGATTATATCAATCGAGCATGGATTTTTGTTTAACTTAATATTAATGCAATAATACCGTTTCTTTTAATTTTGTTTAATGAATACAAGACTTTTTGTTAATGTAGATTAAGACCATGTTATTAATAATACTAGATTCAGTATAATGCAAAGAAAGTTTAAAATAATTATTTCTTGTTTTTATAATTTAGTGATGTTTATTACAAGCCTCTGTTACAAATCTTTGCATTATGAAATAAAAATAATACATTAAAAATTACATAAAAATACAGCAGTTTAAATTAAAAATAATTTGTATTTTGTAAAAAAAAAAATACATTATTTTCATTCATCAAACATTGTGTAATTTTTCTCGGACTTCAGTTCATTCATTTTTAAAGAATAATATACATTCACTAATTTCTCAGATCTTTCAACGCTCAAACGATTTCGTAAGTAGAATGTACAAAAGACCAATTAGAAAATAAACGTTCAATTTGGGCCGATGCTGCAGGTATTTTTAACAATTTCCGCGCGAGTGATGACAGATGAGGATGTAGTGTTGCTGCAAGACCCCAGAATGTCTGTGCTGATTTTATCCCTTTCTTCTGCAAGGTTTGAAAGATACCTGCATTGTTTAGATAATTATCCAATCCTGATTGATCTTCAATATCTAACTGTTCTGTTATAAAATCTAGAGCCATTGCTCTTTCATTCTCTTGATGAAAAAATTGTTTATCCTGATACTGTGGGTGCATAAGGTTTGCAGCAAGAACAATTGGAGTTAAAACCTTTTTCAGACGAGCTTGGAACGTTTTTATAATGAAATCTTCATCCGTTGGAATATTTAGTTTTAGCCATTCCTCACAGGCATCTGCTATTCTTGCGTCAGATCGTTGACACCGATTTATGAGTTCACATATAGGATCGAAGAGTATAATGCAGTCTTGTAATTGAGTCTCAAACGAATATTCGCTTAACAATTGTAAATTATGCGTAGCAAATGTAACCTTTTGTTCATCTACTAGAGTTCTCATTAAATGTAAATTTTTTAAGCAACATCTGAAAGCATCGCGATAACTGCACCACCTTGTTTGGCATGGCAACATAATTCTAGATCTCCCGCGATTTTTTAATTCTCTTTCTGTGCTTGCCGTTCTAAATTCTCGTAATAAATTACTAACAGATTGTGCGAAATCCATCGGTACGAGAGATTTCGCTAATAAATTGGCACTGTGACTACGGCAAGTAGAATGCCAAATATTTACTTGCCGTCCCATGGCAATCATTGGCGACGCATTGTCAGAAACTACAGCATATATAGAAATTTTAAATTTTTTGTTTGCTAATTGTACAGCTTCGTTGACCATATCTTTTAACTGCTGAGACGTTTCCCTTAATTCAGTAAAATCCCAGGATTTAAGAAATATGCTTTTTTCATTAACATTGTGAATTATACACACATTTTTTGTGTTGGCTGCTGAATTTTTCCACCCATCGCATATGAGAACTCCTTCAGAACCTTGAGTTTAGATCCTTTCCTTTATTACATTCTGATGTACTTTATCCAGAATCATTTTAGAAAGAGATTTTTTTGTCGGTGGAAGATAACTTGAGTTTAGCAGCTGTAGAAATCTTTTAAATCGTGGAGATTTTACAACATTCATTGGTATGTTGCATCCAAAGAAAAATTCACCTAAGGCAAGGTCAATTTCTTTTTTGTTTATCTGAAATAATTATTAGAGTTCGCATTACTTCTACAAAACACCTTGTTTTTGGGAAAATACATGGGAATACAATGTTTAGTCCATGGCGCAGAAAACTTTTCTTTTTTTTGTTGGCTTCTGTATTAACAAATGTGATTATATCTAAATATAATCTAAGTATAATATTTTATTTAACATACTGTCCATAAATATTCTCAAAAAATCATTTTTCTAATAATGAATAACGATTACTTACACAAGTATTTTTATTAGTAGAGGAGTTCATTTTTTGGAGGCTATATTCTGCATTCTGTAACATAAATATATTTTTTAGATAAATTAAGGCTATCCTATAATTATTTCTTTATTTTTCAATTATATATTTTTAAAACAATCTTTAATAAAACTTACCAGTCACTTTAACCTGAGTTTAACCTTTAACTGCAAACGGAGCAAACGGCGCAAATCTGGTAAACACAGATGTTTGGTTAAGTTGTTCATAGGGTATTACACATTTTATACGTTTTTAACGTATCTTACCGTAAAATACCGTAAAATGTAAAAAAC